AATCCGTGGTCCGTGCAGAGTTGACGTAGGCAATCTCCGTTTTCTGTCCGGTTGGCTGGGATTGCAAGAAGCCTTTCCGATTCGGCAAGGGATCCCACTTGAGCATTGAAGTCTCCGGCGACTACTTCGATGTCTGTTGATCGGGCACTTTGGAGTAAATGAGAAAGATCCTTGTAAAATTCATCCTTGATTTCTGGTGTACTGCAATCAATCGATACATACACCGATACGACGAATAAGCATCGACGCTTCATTCTGCTGTTGGCCCGAAATGAACCATCCAGACGTGTTGAGGCTTTGTGTGGTTTACCACTCCAAATCTCAGAGTTGGGTTGCCGGTCTTCTCTCACACCACATATGATCAGTTCAACGTACAAAAATCAAGTAATGCGCACTCTACTTTCAAGCTCACAACATTCTATAGCCCTCACCAACATTCGTAGTTTAAATCGAAACGTTATCTCTGTACACCACTTTCTACAATTTTCTTCCCCTTTGGTTTTATTTTTGACGGAGACACAAATCTCCCCCTCGTCAGGCACTACTCATCCTCAGTTCCCTAAATACTTCCTCCGTTCTTCTTTTCTTTCCAAAGCTGATGTCTGCGCCTATATCCATCATTCTGTTGCTTCTTCTCGACTTTCGCACTTAGACTTCTCTAACCGTGAATCTCAGCTTGTGGTTGAAACTTCGACTCCCTTCTTTCAACCACTATTTTTGCACTGTTTACCGCTCTACGAGCAGCAGCGATTCTTCTATATTTGATATTCTGTCTTCCAACATTGAGATATTAATGCCGACAGGTTCTAAAAGCCAAATTACTATTGTCGGAGATTTCAACGTCTACAACAACGAATGACTGAAGCACTCCTCAGACACTACGTTCATGGGACGCAAAGCCGAGGCTTCTGCTGTGGTCAACAACCGAAGTCAATTATTTGACCACCCCACACAACCCTGATCCTCTTGGTGACGGCGCCCACACCCTTGACCTCACATCAATTCTCCCTGCTTTCTTCAACATTTCAATATTACAATCCCATTATACTAATAGCCGAAGTCGAGTTCGAGCTTACGGCACGTTTTTGCCCGAGTTTACCAGGGAAAGTGGTGTTTTAATTTAACTTTGTTATAGACCTGATTATGGAAACAGCCCTATCCTCGTCCGAGAATAGCGGTATCCATTTACTCCCAGGTGGCAGGCTGTTTAATCTAGAACATGCAGACGACATTGTGCTACTAAGTGAAGATCCAGGTAAGATACAAGCCTTTCTGGATAGTTTGAGTGCTCGTGTAACCAAGTTCGGTGTGCGTTTTGCACCTTCGAAGTGTAAAATGTTACTTCAAGACTGGGTTGACCCAGCACCCAGCCTCACCCTAACTGGGGAAGTAATAGAGTAAATGGATAAGTTTTGTTACTTGGGCGGCTACGTCTCGCCCGGTGGACCTGGGGCAAGTGGTC